AAAATGAAAGATTAAGGCTATTTAAGCCAACAGGAAAATCATGAATCTCTACCTTTAAGCTATTTCTGGGTCCTTGTGAAGAATCTGCAAAATCCCTGATGCTCTCCCTCTAGGCACATGGAATATTTTCACCAACACAAAAAACAGTGCTGATTCTGACACCGCAAGCACTGCTCAATTCTCATTTATTTCCTACTGGTGACGCTTTCACCAAAGGCCATGCTACGTTGTTCTGAACCCCTTTCAGGCCATCACTATTTCCTCTTTTATCTTTGCCTAGAAATGTGATGTTTGGGCAAAGAAGGAAAAGGGAAAGTAAGAAACAGGGATGAGTGGGAGAGAGACAGCAGGAAACAGGGGTGGGAAACTGGACACTGCAGCTTTCTCACAACCCCTGACAGGGTGCGTCATCGGATGCTCATTATTTTACTTAAGAGTACAATGAGATTCCAGAACATCAGCCAAATCTCTAGTCTAACCTGGGCATAAAATTGCATGCTGAAATAAAATACATTTTTCTCCAAATAATTTATTAAAAATTACACTTGATATTCGTGTGGAAATTAAGACCAAATTGCAATATGCTTTCCATTTCCAATGTACAAAGAATTTTGTTCCTGACAAGGACAAATTCTAAATGGTAAGTAAAATAAATATGGCATTTATTTAAGTAGTGTGAGCCACAGGTTAATCTTAAGTGGTGTTTGGTTGATGGGAGAGAAAATGCTCCATCAGAATTGTTGTAAGAACTTTCAAATGTGCTTGACATGCATTCGGGAGTGGTGACTTACACCTGTAATCACAGCACTTTGGGAGGCCGAGGCAGGTGGATCACCTGAGATCAGGAGTTCGAGACCAGCCTGGCCATCATGGTGAAACCCCATCTCTACTAGAAATACAAAAATTAGCCAGGTATGGTGGCAGGCGCCTGTAATCCCAGCTACTTGGGAGGCTGAGGCAGGAGAATTGCTGGAACCCAGAAGGCAGAGGTTGCAGTGAGCCAGGATCCCACCACTGCACTCCAGTCTGGGTGAGAGAATGAGACTCTGTCTCAAAAAAAAAAAAAAAAAGAATCTTAGTTTAACGGTTTCGGGTTATAGCTCCAGGGATGGGGGGTGGGGATGATTGACTATGCATTTGATATGTATCTTATTAATCATAAGGTTCTTTCCCCCATAGCAAAGTACATATAAATGCAAAGCTTTAGTGCTTAGCTGACTGTAATAGGACATCTTCATAAAAGGAATACACTTAACACCTCAGCCAATAAGCCAGAGAATCTTATGCTGCACAAATGTGCAGTTTTAATGTGTTGCTCAGGCTATAGTATTATTTTTAAGTTTTTGGTTTTGTTTTATACCATGCATTTATTTCCCTCTGAATTAATCACAGGTACTTTCTTTAACATAAACTATTTTAAGTATAAACTGTATTCCTGAATATTTTCAGATGCATTCTGCTAGTTCAAGTAAACTCACACAGACATTAATCCAATTTGAATAACTACATATGAATGAGGCTACAGTATTATTCAATCCGGAGTGTGTCACTTCCGTTCATGAAGGCTTGCTATGCATAAATATAAAAATATTTTTTCTTCTGATGCTTTCACTTTTGAAGTACTCCCTACAAGGGACTTAAAAAAAATTAAAGAGCTTTCAAAGTGTTCTGTTAGGCTATGATTTGAGGGGCAGATGAATGGAAATGGCTAATGATAGTTATTTAACTGGAGATATTTGTGGTAACATGCGAAAGTATAAACGAACTCCAACAAACTCATTTTTCCCTGAAACTTTTGGTGGAAAATTATATATTATTTTGAGACAGGGTCTTGCTCTGTTGCCCACGCCAGGCTGGAGTGCAGTGGCATGACCTCGGCTCACTGTACCCTTGACCTCCTGGGCTCAAGCGATTTTCCCATTTCAGCCCACTCCCAAATATCTGGGACTACAGACATGTACCACCACTCTTGGCTAATTTTTATATTTTTTCGTGGAGATAGGGTTTCACCATGTTGCCCAGGCTGGTCTCGAATTCTTGGACCCACGCAATCTGCCCATCTTGGCCTCCCAAAGTGCTGGATTACAGATGTGAGCCATTGCACCCAGCCTATTATTTTGAAAGGTTATTCTGCCTTTACTGAAATGCAACAAACGGTTATTGAGCACCTACTATATTATTATATAGTCCATTCCTACTAGGCTACCGCAGCCATTGATGACCTTATCTCTTCCTTTGTGTGTGTGTGTGTGTGTGTCTGTGAAGCTGTTTGTATATTTTTGGTTAGTTTGCTTGCGAAGCAGCTTGGAGAAGTTTCATCCACTTTTTTTTTTTTTTTTTGAGATGGAGTCTCGCTCTGTTGCCCAGGCTGCAGTGCAGTGGCACCATCTCAGCTCACTGCAAGCTCTGCCTCCCGGGTTCACGCCATTCTCCTGCCTCAGCCTCCCGAGTAATTGGGACTACAGTCACCCGCCACTGCGCCCGGCTAATTTTTTGTATTTTTAGTAGAGATGGGGTTTCACCATGGTCTCGATCTCTTGACCACGTGATCCGCCCACCTCGGCCTCCCAAAGTGCTGGGATTACAGGCGTGAGCCGCCGTGCCCGGCCCCTTTCATCTACTTTTTATCAGTTCGTTGGTTTTATAAAGCATCTCAGAAAGTGGACCCAGAAATCGCAGATCTGCCATTAGTATTTATTCTTTAAAGACACTTTGGAGATTCATTTTCTTGAGTGGCACTGCCATGCTCATTCAGTGAAAACCTGTGGGGTATAGAAATGGAACGGAGAGTTTTAAACAGCTCTGCCGAAACAGTACTTTGGGTTCCATACTTCACTGTCCTTAGGCATTGAAACCATCACCTGGTTTGCATTCTTCATGACTGAGGTTAACTTAAAACAAAAATGGTAGGAAAGCTTTTCTATGCTTCGGGTAAGAGACAAATTTGCTTTTGTAGAATTGGTGGCTGAGAAAGGCAGACAGGGCCTGACTAAAGAAGACATTTGTCACCACTAGCCACCAAGTGAAGTTGTGGAACCCAAAGGTGACAGCCATGGAAACGTAGATCATCAGTTCTGCTAAGTAGTTAGGGGAAGAAACATATTCAAACCAGTCTCCAAATGGGATCCTGTGGTTACAGTGAATGACCACTCCTGAAAGGGTAAAAGAAGATCTCATAAGCATTTAAAGGTTTGAAAAGAAAGTTTCACCACTTCACTCCCAAATCATTTACAGAAACTGTTTTTATTTTTTTGAGACACAGTCTTGCTCTGTTGTCCAGGCTGGAGTGCAGTGGTGCAGTCATGGCTCACTGTAGTCTCATCCTTCCAGGCCCAGGCAATCCTCCCATCTCAAACTCCCCAGTGGCTAGAACCACAGGTACGCACTACCATGCCTGGCTCATTTTTTGACTTTTTTGTAAAGACAGGGTCTGCCTATGTTGCCCAGGTTGGTCTCAAACCGCTGGACTCAAGTGATCCTCCCACCTCAGCCTCCCAAAGTGCTGGGATTACCAGTGTGAGCCAACCTGCCCAGCCCAGAAACTCTTATTTAGAAGAGTATCATAGATGTGTGTAAACCACCATCCTGTCACACTTCTGTCAGTCTATTACATATTGAAAAGTCATCTGCTTAGGTTAAATTGTCAACTGTCAATAAGCACAAGAGAAAAGCCAGTTACTCCAGCAATCCTCCAAGCTACTACTTAAGAGCTCAGACTACTCCAGAGTCAGACTGCACAAGTTTAAATCCTGGCTCTCCCACTTACTAGCTGTGTAACTTTAGATAAATTGCTTAACCTCTTTGTGCCTTAGTTTCCTCCTCTGTAAAATGAAGACTGGTCTGTCATCTCATGTCGGCATTATGAAGCTGTATGTAAAGCACTCAGAACAGAGCCTGGGACAAAGTAAGTACTTGATAAATATTAAAACTATTCAATTTTTTGGCCGGACGCGGTGGCTCATGCTTGTAATCCTAGCACTTCGGGAGACTGAGGTGGGTGGGTCACCTGAGGTCAGGAGTTCGAAACCAGCCTGGCCAACATGATGAAACCCCATCTCTACTAAAAATATAAAAATTAGCCAGGTGTGGTGGCACATGCCTGTAATCCCAGCTACTTGGGAGGCTGAGGCATGAGAATCGCTTGAACTCAGGAGGCGGAGGTTGCAGTGAGCTGAGGTGGCGCCACTGCACTCCAGCCTGGGTGACAGAGTGAGAGTCTGTCTCAAAATAAATAAATAAAATAAAATAAAATAAATAATAGGCCAGGCACAGTGGCTCACGCCTGTAATTGGGGCACATTTTATTAAAATAAAATAAATAAAACTATTCAATTTTTTTTTTTTTTGAGACAGAGTCTAGCTCTGTCACCCCAGCTGGAGTGCAGTGGCACGATCTCGGCTCACTGCAACTTCTGCCTCCCAGGTTCAAGTGATTCTAGTGCCTCAGCCTCCCAAGTAGCTGGGACTACAGGTGCCCACACCACTACACCCAGCTAATTTTTGTATTTTTAGTAGAGACGGGGTTTCACCATGTTGGCCCGGCTGATCTTGAACTCCTGACCTCAAGTGATCCGCCTACCTTGGCTTCCCAAAGTGCTGGGATTACAGGCGTGAGCCACTGTGCCTGGCCTATTCAATTTCTAGTATTTCAAAAAACCTAATGGAAACTGTACCTGTGATAAGTCAACACAAACTAACTTAAAGGTCAAGTTTTTATGCTGTGGCTGGTACTAACTCATGGTAACACTAGTTCTCACATGCTGATGAGACACAAAATGTAGAATCACAGAATGTCAGGGCTACTTGGGTCCAGAGGGGTCTTTCAATGTAAGGCTCTCATTTTCACAGATAGGAAGATCGAGGCCCAGAGAAGTGTCTTGCCAAAAATAAATATTTGATATAGTCGACTAACTAGGGCAGGAAGGAAAAGTATGCAGGCCCATGGAGAACTAACTTCTGAGGGTTAAAATCCATATGCGGAGGCTTTAAAAGAGGTCTCACCTGCTTTATTTTTCCTGAGATTGCCGAGAATAACATGGCACTTATACTGATGGGCAGATGACCAGATGAACATCATCATCCCGAGAATATGGAACCACCGTGCTTGCATCAGTACATTTTTCCCTGTTACGTAGGCTATAGGAATAAGAATTGTTAGCCAACACTAAACAATTTCACAGGCTCAGGGAATTAAACAAATCATTTAGTCAGCAGAAACACAATTATCCACTTATTCTGTTCCTCAATATCCTAATGTAATTTCCCAAGTACAAAGAGGGGAACCTGTTCCTCAATATCCCGATGGAATTTCCTGATGTAATTTCCCAGTACAGAAGGCAGAGCTCTGTCTCTCTGGACAAAGGAGATATGTTCATCAGTTACGGGCAGCTTCAGTCCCCCTGGCAGAGAATTCCATACAGACACATTCTCTTGCTTCTTCTCTAAATGGTTCAAGCACAAAGTTCAGCTCCCCTACTGTGATCTACTTTCGCATGGTAAGACTCTTTTGTGTTTACCTTGCTAAGTCCAGTTTTAAGTCTTCTTATGTTTTTTTTTTGGTTTTGTTTTTGTTTTGTTTTTTTGAGGCGGAGTCTTGCTCTGTCGCCCAGGCTGGAGTGCAGTGGCCGGATCTCAGCTCACTGCAAGCTCCGCCTCCCAGGTTTACGCCATTCTCCTGCCTCAGCCTCCCGAGTAGCTGGGACTACAGGCGCCCGCCACCTCGCCCGGCTAGTTTTTCGTATTTTTAGTAGAGACGGGATTTCACCGTGTTAGCCAGGATGGTCTCGATCTCCTGACCTCGTGATCCGCCCGTCTCGGCCTCCCAAAGTGCTGGGATTACAGGCTTGAGCCACCGCGCCCGGCCAGTCTTCTTATGTTTTACAGTGAAGAAAAACACTTTCTAAGGAAATCTCTCTCTGAGATACCATCCTGCTAGGGAGAGCGTGAAAGCAGAATGCTGACTCGACTAGCTCAGGCCAATGAAGGAAATCACCAGTGGAAAGGCTACCAGGGGGCTTTCTCAAAAGAGGGGGACAGTAAACTACAAGATGAACAACTCGATGCCATCCAGGTCTGGATAAGAGAGAACACAGTCGAGAGACTGAGTTTCAGAAGTGGAAACACTCAAAGCATCATCTTCCACTTTCTTCACTGGCTGCTAGGAAGAAGGGAAAAACACAGACCACCTGATGACCTGTGGAGCAAACCACTGGCTTCAGAAAAGCAAACAGAGACTTCCCTCTGAGCAGCAGGAAACAGCCTAGTCTGAGGCTTGACTGAAGAAACAAATGTGTCCACTGATAATGGGCAAGAGCCTGAGGCTCTGGAGCCAAGGGGGAACCCTGAAAAGCTGATTCAAGTAAGAGAACCAAGGATCATGCAATTCCACATGGCCACCTCGAAGCAGGAATCAGTTAAGGACTGATGAAAATCCACTGGTCTACCTGTGTCAGTTTATTTTTTAAAAGCTTGTTTTATATAATCAATCTACTATAGTCTTTTAGTGTTTACAAGTTTAGGCATTTAACTACTAGGTTATATTTTTATAAGTTCAAAACAGACTGGGTACAGCGGTTCACACCTGCAATCCTGGCACTTTGGGGGACCAAGGCAGGAGGATCACTTGAGGGGTTTGAGACCAGCCTGCCAACATAGGGAGAACCTGTCTCTACAAAAATGAAATAAGCAAAATATTAAAAATACAGTTTTAAATCTGATAGGCTTCAAGAGCAAGTCAACAGGATGAAAAGTTAGAGTGTCTGGAATTTCAAATCACTAACAAGTCCTTTACTCTAAATGCAGAGAATTTACCTATGGGAAAAAGGATTTGTTAAGGGTAACACCAGAATTATAATGCAGGAAAAGGGAGGCAGATGGAAGGGTCACATTTCCTTAGTTCTACTCAGTATTTAATTATTTGTTTATTCACTAGTTACTTAAGGAGTGCCTACTAAGCCTGGCCCTGCTGCAGGTACAAAGGATAAAGCAGGAAATAAGTCAGGCAAGATCCCAGTCCTTATAGAGTTACATCCTAGTTTGCAGAGTCTTCTTTTCACTTTAAGAAGAACCCTGTGAAATCAGTATGTGTCAGTAATTACTAATGAAGGCTCTGAGGCTCAGAGAAGCTCAATGAGCCAAATGCAGGCCCATGAGACTCTGGAGCCCATGTTATTTCTATCACACCCTTTGGTTGGCAAATGCCCCAATGTGTTTTCTCTCAATGAATTACTGAAACCAACTTTCCCCATATTGTCCCAAATGATCCCAGATGACCCTTGAAGGACACGAGGTGAAACAGAAAACAGCTTCAGAAAGGAGTGCTTGGAAAGTTATTTTTATGGGCTCCTCTTCCTTGACTGTCTATGCAGGAGGGAAGACAGAAGTTGAGATGCAGCCAGTAGAGGAAACTCTGGGAGAGGCAGGTAATGCCAACAGACATGAACACACTGAAAGCTAGCAGCCACCAAGCGCTCTGCAAAGTTCCTTTAGGGGGAGAACCAGCACTGCCCACCAGGAATGACAGCCCTTTCCATTGTACTGGCTGGCAGAATGCCACCACAGACATGCCAGGGAGGAATAAGTTCAGAGGAATCAGACAGAGAGATGCTAGCTAAGTGGCTGGAGCCAACGAATAATTCATGAATTGAGAAAGATCGTCAATAAATCCTCCTTTAAAATCACTCCTCTAGTCAGAGGCCTTAGGTTGAGCTACAGAAAAGAGAGAAGACTTTCATGGGGCACTCGTACCAAAATCTAACCTGAGGAGGAAGCTCACTCACAGATTGTTGGAAATCACTAGAGTTTACGAGGATGGATAGGGCAGCTGGAAACATGGAGCCCTGGGTTTAGAGACAATGGTCATTACAGACCTACAGGGTCTAGACTGACAGATACTAGGGCTGCAAGGTCAGGTTAACCTCAGCACTATAAACTCATTTCCATCACCCCAAGTGACTTGATTTCTTTATAATCATGCATTGTTTTTACAAAAATGGTAGTCATATGTGTTAGATAACGTCCCCTCCTCCCCCCATAAAACAAAAAATCCGTTTCATTTCCTTCTCCTAAACAAGGTCATGGTTTGGCTTCCCTCTTCCTGGCTAGTGAGAGCTTAGAGACTAAAACACAATTTTCACTACCACAGTACTCTTTGTCCTCTCCCCTTAGGCAGCATCACTTGAAGAAAAGCTCTGTTGTGATGGGAACAATCACAAGAACTAAGTGGCAACAAAACGGCTCCCCACCCCCTCTGCAAATCCCAACTCCATGCAAGCACCACTCCCTTCCCTCATTTTCTTTTCTTTTTTGAGATGGAGACTCGCTCTGTTGCCCAGGCTGAAGTGCAGTGGTGCCATCTTGGCTCACTGCAACCTCCACCTCCCGGTTTCAAGCAATTCTCCTGCCTCAGCCTCCCCAGTAGCTGGGACTACAGGCGTGTGCCACCACGCCTGGCTAACTTTTTTTTAATTTTTAGTAGAGACAGAGTTTCACCATGTTGGCCAGGCTAGTCTCGAACTCCTGGCCTCAAGTGATCCACCTGCCTCGGCCTCCCAAAGTGGTGGGATTACAGGTGTGAGCCACCATGCCCGGCCTTTTAAAATCGATTTGAGGCTCACCTCCTCAAAACTCTGCAAAATGCACTGGGCCTGTCTCTTTCTTTTGCATGTCTTACAATGCTTAGCAGAGCACAAACCCTGAGAGCACCTCATATACCCTGGGGTGGGAAGGAGCTCCTGGCAGGGCTGGACCCACTCACCATTCCTGCCATCCATTGGCACTTGGCTTAGCACAGTTAGGCCAACAAGGACATAGTAGACAAGTCCAAAACAGTACTGTACGACGTGAATCATGACATTGGAGAAGACACTGACGTAGAGGCACTCGAAGAGTCTTCGTATGCTGTGCAGCCACAGAAATACTAGCACTAAGAATGCAGACAGCGCCAGCTCCCCTCCTACAATTCAGAAGGCGACAGGGTCAGCATTTCTCTTCCGGGATTAATCCAAAGTTTTGTTTTTCCCTACTGTTAAGTAGAGTATGAAATTCCGTCTAACATCTTCCTTTTTGGTAGTAAGGAAGAAATGGGCCAAATGAAGTCAAGGAATTTGACTTCACTCAGATTACACAGTTATACAGTAATCTAGTGACAGGGCTGGCCCAAACACCCATCCCTCGACTCTGCTTCATTGTTTGACAGCCTTCCAGGCTTCATGGGACATCGTGGTCAGAAGGTCTGTGAAGAGGTCTGTGGGTCTCTGGTCCCTGGCACTAACAGCCAGATGCAAACTGTCTGGAAGAGTTCCCAGTGGCCTCTGAGTGGCCCCAGCCATGGGATTCCCAGCATCTCAGGCACCACAGAGGCGGAGATGGGAACAGGAACAGGAACAGAAACAGAGTTATGCATTTTTTTCCACATTAAAAACAAGAAATTATACTTTTAGAGGGATGGTGAGCCCAAGATCTACTTCCCCACCTGTCTTTCACGACCTGCCCACCAAAAAATCTGAAGAAAAGCTGGCTTTAAAAAGCACACACTTAGTTTTTCTCTTTTTATTTTTTGTTTTTTGGTTAATTTTATGTGTCAACTTCTTTATTTTATTTTTGAGACAGGGTCTTGCTCTGTCACCTAGGCTGGAGTGCAGTGGCATAGTCAGGCCTCACTGCAGCTTTGAACTCCTGAGCTCAAGTGATCCTGTCTCAGCCTCCTGAGTAGCTAGGACTACAGTCATGTGCCACCACGCCTGACTAATTAAAAAAAATTTTTTTTTTTTGTAGAGACAGGGTCTCCCTATGTTGCCCAGGCTGGTCTCGAACTCCCGGCCTCAAGCCATCCTCCAGCCTCAGCCTCCCAAAGTGCTGGAATTTTAGGTGTGAGATACCACGCCCTGTCACTTAAAAAAAAAAATAAGTCACAGCTGGGCGCGGTGGCTCATGCCTGTAATCTTAGCACTTTGTGAGGCCGAGGCGGGTAGACTGCCTGAGCTCAGGAGTGAAACCTCATCTCTACTAAAAATACAAAAAATTAGCCAGGCATGGCAGCAAGCTACTCGGGAGGCTGAGGTAGGAGAATTGCTTGAACCCAGGAGGTGGCGGCTGCAGTGAGCCAAGATCGGGCCACTGCACTCCAGCCTGGGAGACAGAGTGAGACTGTATCTCCATTTTAAAAAAAAAGTCTCATATACACACACACACACACACACGCATGCACAACACCATAAAGATGCAACTTAATTAACTTTTACAAATTAAGCCAACCAATCCCACCCATATAACAGCACTCAGATCCAGAAACAGAACACTTTAGGGAGCTGAGGTTGGAGGAGAGTGCTTGAGACCAGGAGTTTGAGACCAGCCTGGGCAACACAGCAGGTCCCCCATCTCTAAAAACATTTAAAAAAATTAGCTGGGCACGGTGGCATGCACCTGTAGTCCCAACTACTCAAGAGGCAGAGGAGGGAGGATCGCTTGAGCCCAGGAGTTAAAGGCCGCGGTGAGCTCTGATCATGCCATGGCACTCCAGCCTGGACAACACAGCGAGACCCTCTCTCTTAAAAAAAGAAAAAAATGAAACAAACAAAAGAAACAGGCTGGGTGCAGTGGCTCATGCCTGTAATCCCAGCACTTTGGGAGGCCAAGGTGGGTGGATCACGAGGTCAGGAGTTCGAGACCAGCCTGGCCAACATAGTGAAACCCCGTCTCTACTGAAAATACAAAAATTAGCCAGGCATGGTGGCACATGCCTGTAGTCCCAGCTACTCAGGAGGCTGAGGCAGGAGAATTACTTGAACCCGGGAGAGGGAGGTTACAGTGAGTTGAGATCAGGCCACTGCACTCCGCCTGGGCAACAGAGCCAGACTCCATACTAAAAAAAAAAAAAAAGGGCCGGGCGCGGTGGCTCAAGCCTGTAATCCCAGCACTTTGGGAGGCCGAGACGGGCGGATCACGAGGTCAGGAGATCGAGACCATCCTGGCTAACACGGTGAAATCCCGTCTCTACTAAAAATACGAAAAACTAGCCGGGCGAGGTGGCGGGCGCCTGTAGTCCCAGCTACTCGGGAGGCTGAGGCAGGAGAATGGCGTAAACCCAGGAGGCGGAGCTTGCAGCGAGCTGAGATCCGGCCACTGCACTCCAGCCTGGGCTACAGCGCGAGCGAGACTCCCTCTCAAAGAAAAAAAAAAGAAAAAGAAACAGAACACGACCAGCACCCCCTAGTGTTCCCTTCCAGGCACTACCCCTCCCCCAAACTTACCATGGGGAACAACCCCTATCCTGACCTCTATCAGCACAGATTAGCTTTGACTGTTTTTGTATTTTAAATGAACTAAAACTTAGTTTTAACTCCTTAGGAACAAGTTAAAGCAAACAAATAGAATTCCTCATATCCTCACAACCAACCCTCCAAATACGAAACCACCCCAGTCAGTCCCACAGTAAACAAATGAAGAGATGAAGTTTTAATGAGTGGAGTGAGATCCACTGATGTATCCTGCCCTCCCAAAAAGGATGTACACGGGTTTGCTCTTTTTTTTGAGATGGAGTCTTGCTCTGTCACCCAGGCTGGAGTGGAGTGACATGATCTCAGCTCACTGCAACCTTTGCCTCTTGGGTTCAAGCCATTCTCCTGCCTCAGCCTCCTGAGTAACTGGGATTACAGGCACGTGCCACCATGCCCAGCTAATCTTTTGTATTTTTAGTAGAGACAGGGTTTCACCATGTTGGCCAGGCTGGTCTCGAACTCCTGACCTCAAGTGATACACCTGCTTCAGCCTCCCAAAGTGCTGAGATTACAGGCATGAGTCACTGTCTACTGTGCCCAGCAGGGTTTGTTCTTTTTTTTTTTTTTGAGATGGAGTCTCACTCTGTCCTCTTAGTCTAGAGTGCAATGGCACAATCTTGGCTCGCTGCAACCTCTGTCTCTTGGGTTCAAGCGATTCTCTCACCTCAGGCTACCGAGTAGCTGGGGTTACAGGCATGCGCCAGCACACCCAACTAAGTTTTGTATTTTTAGTAGAAATGGAATTTCACCATGTTGGCTAGGGTGGTCTTGAACTCTTGACCTCAAGTGATCTGCCCACCTTGGCCTCCCAAAGTGCTGGGATAACAGACATAAGCCACCACACCCAGCTGGGGTTTGCTCTTCTAATTGTCATCTCTTGCAACCAGTTTCTCTGGTTATACAGAAAAGGACAGTTTCCAGGGTGCCAGTGGTTTGGCCACTGGAACAAAGGACAGAGATAAAACCAGAACAATTTGTTTCTAATTCTGCCCCTCACACTCTGCCTGACCTTAATTGAGGACATTTCATAGTTTTCACCTTCAATTCTTTATTTTTATTGTTATTTTTTTTGAGACGGAGTCTCACTCTGTTGCCCAGGCTGGAGTGCAGTGGGGCAAGCTCGGCTTACTGCAAGCTCTGCCTCCCGGGTTCACACCATTCTCCTGGCTCAGCCTCCCGAGTAGCTGGGACTACAGGCGCTCGCCACCACGCCTGGCTAATTTTTGTATTTCTAGTAGAGACGGGGTTTCACCCTGTCAGGATGGTCTCGATCTCTTGACCTCGTGATCCGCCCGCCTCGGCCTCCCAAAGTGCTGGGATTACAGGCGTGAGCTACTGTGCCCGGCCCAGTTCGTTATTTTAAAAACTGTGCTGGCTGGGCGCAGTGGCTCACGCCTGTAATCCCAGCACTTTGGGAGGCCCAGGCAGGCGGATCACCTGAGGTTGGGAATTTGAGACCAGCCTGACCAACATGGAGAAACCCCATCTCTCTACCAAAAATACAAAATTAGCTAGGCATGCCTGTAATCCCAGCTACTCAGGAGGCTGAGACAGGAGAATCGCTTGAACCTGGGAGGCAGAGGTTGCAGTGAGCCGAGATCGTGCCATTGCATTCCAGCCTGGGCAACGTGAGTGAAACTCCGTCTCAAAAAACAAAAAACTGTTTTACATATTCTTCATCCTGATGCTGAGGATGGCAAATTTAAAGGCTATTTTGTAATCGTCTGTTCAACAACTGTTTAGTCAGTTTTATTATACTACCAAAGCCTTGCAGCATAACATTTTTTTCCATGTTTTTCAAAAAGTAATTTTTATTTATTTTATTCATTCATTTATTTATTTATTTGAGATGAAGTCTCCCTCTGTTGCCCAGGCCTGGAGTGCAGTAGTTCAGTCTCAGCTCATGGCAACTTCCACCTCCCAGGTTCAAGCGATTCTCTTGCCTCAGCCTCCCGAGTAGCTGGGATTACAATAAGCGCCTGCCACCACACCCAGCTAATTTTTGTATTTTTAGTAGAGTCAGGGTTTCACCCCATTGGCCAGGCTGGTCTTGAACTCCTGATCTCAAGTGATCCACCCGTCTTGGCCTCCCAAAGTACTGGGATTACAGGTACGAATGAAAAAGTAATTTTTAAATCACATTTCTGGAGTTCTAAGTCATGATTTTGGTTGGAACAGTATAAATGATAACTGTTTCCAGACAAAACCGATGAATCCTAAAAGCTTTCCCCCTTTTGTGTAAAGACTTCTTTATACATTTATCAACAGTACTAAAAATACCAGAGGGAGGACAGCCAGTTCTGTACACAGCACAGCACTTGCTGGGAAGTCAGAAGTGCTAACTCTTGGCTCTGTCTCCTTCTCAGGGAAGGGCTTAGGGACATCCCTTTGGCCATCCAGCAATGAACCGTGCAAAGCTCTTTTTTGCCCTCATCCTCCACTTCCCAGGCCCTTCTGAGGAGGCGCCTGAGAGAGGAGACAAAATGCCAAAAACCGCTCCCTTGCGGACAGGAACGACAGGAATAGGATGCAGTGTTGTCATAAGCCGGGGGAGTGCTTACCCTGGAACTGTGCCGCCCCGAGAATTCTGAGCAAACCATGAAGCCAGCTTGGAAAAGGTGCTCCCAGGAACAGAGATTGAGAAAGGCACCAAAGCAGGAAGCCATTCCACAGCACTGAGATGATATAAAAGTGGGAAAAATATCTGCAAAAGGAAAACAAGTGAGGCAATAATTAGGTTAAATCCACTTTAAGCTGTTATACGGGAAGATTATTTTTAGTTTCTCTGTCTTTCCCTACCCCTCCATTCCCAAAGTATACTTTTGCTTTTTAATAGAATCCGAATCCTGTAGGTGTTCAGATTTTTAAAATTTCCTTTCAAATAATGGGACCAGTTAACTTTCAGGAAAAAGAGGCCTCTCTGAGGTTAACAAGAACGCAACCGACTGTGTTAAACTTAGAATAAAGTTTAGTTAGCAATCTCTCAGATTGCTGGGTAACAGAATTGGGTTCAAGTTCCCAAAACGGAGGCTGCAGGTCCTTGCAAAGAGAACCTAGATTGTGCTAAAACAAGCTAAATCTGTGAAAGATTTTGATTTCTATATCGCAAACAATATTGCAGTAATAGCCATACAACTGCTACACACGATTTGCATAATCACAAACACTTGGGGCTAGAGGAAGTAAAAGATCTTTAGGCATGACTCAGTGTTTTTCCAAATTAGGTTGACCTAAATTACTTTTATTATACCATGACTAATACTACAATCATAAAACTAGGTATTAACTCCTTATGGTTATAATTCTCAGACAACTATAGGGCCTGTTTTGCAATCAACACATCTACAAACTAAATACAAACAGGACCACAAAACCAATGCAATTGAAATTAGCAATGTTAATTTAATGTGAAAGACGATGTTGATTTGCTGAAACAAAAAAATCACCCTATATGACACAAGGGCCTAGGGCCTAGCAGGTTCTTCTTTTTTTTTTTTTTTCTTTTGAGACAGGGTCTTGCTGTGTCGTCCAGGCTGGAGTGCAGTGTCGTGATCACAGTTCACTGCAACATTGACCTCTGAGGCTCAAGTGATCCTCACACCTCAGCTTTCCAAGTAGCTGGGACCACAGGCGTGTAGTAGTCCACCATGCCTGGCTACATTTTAAATTTTTTATAGAGATGCGATCTCCCTATGTTGCCCAGGCTGGTCTCAAACTCCTGGGCTCAAGAGATCCCTCCCACATTGGCTTCCCAAAGTGCTGGGATTACAGGTGTGAGCCGCCATGTCCAGCCCCTCATGGGTTCTTTTGAGGTCTGTTTATGTATACTTTTCTATTTTTTTCTATTCATTCTGAAATCTTTCTGACTCTATAGAGTGCCTGGCGGTCATCTGGCTTTCCCTGGTCTTCAATGCATCGTGTATATATTAAATCCCACTCCTTCTTTTCTTTTTCTCATTAGTCTATGACAATAAAAGACAACCTGGCGCCAAAAGAGGATTAAACATAATCTCAGGGGCTCCTCCAGATGATCCAGAATATGCTTGTAAGAGAATGCACAGCCCCTGAGATCATGCCTACACACTCAGTCTGATAAACTCTGATCCAACCTGATCACTCCATGGCAACCCACTCCACTCTGCCAATTACTGTTAGCAAATTCTATCACTGGCCAGGCATGGTGACTCATGCCTGTAATCCCAGGGCTTTGGGAGGCCAAAGTGAGAGGATCCCTTGAGGCCAGGAGTTTGAGGTTATAGTGAGCTATGATCCTGCTTCTGCACTGCAGCCTGGGCAATAGAGCAAGACCCTGTGTCTTAAAAAATAAATAAATAAAATTCTACCACTGGATTTGCCATCTCTGGCCACACAGAACAAGAATTTATTTCCACACAACAGCTCTTAAACTATTTGAAGAGAGCCATCCTGTGATTCCCAATTGGGATCTTCTCCAGGCTCAAGAGCCTACTTTTCACAGAAGTTCACGCATCAAGGTCAATCGCCACCCGTGGCTACTGATCTTCAGTTATACCACAGGGTCTTCCTTAAGATACGCTTCCCACAACTGACCCCAGGTATGGGCTAAGCTTCGTGGAGCAGAGTGGAAGGTCAAGAACATGCTATTCTGCAGGCTCCCAGGAAAAGGCAGGAGGGACAGCTTCTGAAGGACAATTTCTCGACCAGCCACTTTACCTACTTAATTTTTTCACAAATATTTACTGAGCACTTCGAATGTGTTGGGCAATATTCTAGAAGCTGGGAACTCGGCAGGGAGTAAACAGACCAGGTCTCTGCCTTGATGGAGTTTACCTTACGGTGGAGAGTCAGACAGTCAACAACTAAACCTGCAGACATCTAGCATAATGCTGGGTCAGGGGACAGAGGGTGCAGAGGGGAGGCTGTTCTGGATGGGTGGTCAAGGATGGCTTCTCTGGAAGTGACATTTGGCTAGAAGGAGTCATCTTTTTGGATTTCCAGGGGAAGAACTTTCTAGGCAGAAGAAATAACAACTGCAAAGGCAATGAGGTGGGTGTATATTAGCAGTGTTCAAGGAACATTAAAAGACATCTGTGCAGCTGCTGTGGCATGGCCAACGGTGAGTGTAGAAGGTGAGGCAGGAGTGGGGAGAGGACATGAAGCCCTGTAAGGCCACTAGTTTTTATAATGAGGAGCCATTTGGGCAGAGGAGTGACTTGAGGCAGTAATTTACGTTTTAAAAATCCCTCTAGCCTACCCGGGAGGTGGAGGTTGCAGTGAGCCAAGATCGCGCCATTGCACTCCAGCCTGGGCAACAGAGTGAGACTCCGTCTCAAATAAATTAAATAAATAAATAAATAAATAAATAAATAAATAAATAAAATCCCTCTAGCCTGGGCAACATAATGAGGCCCCATCTCTACTAAAAAAAAAAAAAAAAAAAAAAAAAAGAAATAAAAAAATTTGCCGAGTGTGATGATGCATGCCTGTAGTTCTAGCTACTCGGGAGGCCAAGCAGTAAGTGGTGGTCATGCCACAGCACTCCAGCCTGGGTGACAAAGCGAGATTCTGTCTCAAAACAAACAAACAAACAAAACCCTAAAAATCCTTCTGGCTGATGGATTCTGGAGATAGGTGGTGGTGATAGTTGGATAACAAGATGAATGTATTTAAAGCTACCTAACTATATATTTAAAAAAATTTAAAAAGTAAAATTTAAGTTATGTATACTTTACCACAATAAAAACATTTTAAAAGGCAGCAAAAGACGCTGGGTGCGGTGGCTCAGGCCTGTAATCCCACCACTTTAGGAGGCCGAGGTGGGTGGATTACCTGAGTTCAGGAGTTCCAAACCAGCCTGGACAACATGGTGAAACCCTGTTTCTACTAAAAATACAAAAATTAGCCAGGCGTGCTGGCACATGCCTGTAATCCCAGCTACTTGGGACGCTGAGATAGGAGAATCGCTTAAACCCAGGGGGCAGAGGTTATAGTGAGCCGAGATTGCACCACTGCACTCCAGCCCGGGAGACAGAGCAATACTTTGTCTCAAAAAAAAAAAAAAAAAAAGGAGGCAAAAGAAAGCATTGGTCATATATTTCATTATTCTTTAAGTGAAAATATATCCCTCTGGTAACTACGTAGAGAATAGTCTAGTTGTGGGGGTAAGAGGTACCAGGTAGAGCGTGGCAAAACAGTTAAGACTATTTAATTCCTCTTCATAACAATCCTATGAAGCTTATATTGTTATCTTCATGTGGCAGATGAGAAACCCAAGGCTCAGAGAGGTTAAGTTACTTATCCAATGTCAGACAGTAAGCGGCAGCCCTGATGACTGTGAAGTTAAAATCATACTATTGTGCTCTCATTCATGCAATCTAGGCATGCCTGAACTTGCTTTTCTATCCTTATGTTACACGTACCGATTTATATCAAGCCTAAAGTCAAGCATATCACTCAAGTGGGTTTTGTGTAAGTTGCTAGGCTACACCATCCTGTGCTCTACTTGTGTCATGGTGTCTTTCATTCACGGGCATATTGTGTTGCTTTTTATTCCCACATTTTGTTTTGCTTGCCTGATTTCCCTCCATACATTTTCTATTCTTTTTTCTTTTTTTAGACTGAGTCTCGCTCTGTCGCCCAGGCTGGAGTGCAGTGGCACGATCTCGGTTCATTGCAAACTCTGCCTCCTGGGTTCACGCCATTCTTCTGCCTCAGCCTCCCGAGTAGCTGGGACTACAGGCTTCTGCCATCACGCCCGGCTAATTTTTGGTATTTTTAGTAGAGATGGGGTTTCACAGTGTTAGCCAGGATGGTCTGGATCTCCTGATCTCGTGATCCGCCCACTTTGGCCTCCTGAAGTGCTGGGATTACAGGCATGAGCCACCTCACCAGGCCTATACATTTTCTATTCTTTAGAGCAAGTCATAGCTCTTGTTTGTTTTTAAAGACCCAGCTTGAACCTCCAAAAGCTGATCTAAAATCTCCACTGTCGTCTGTTTTGGACACTCTCCTTTTTTCCTCCTTTGGCACTATGCTTACTTGTAGCACTGTTGTCCAAGTCCTTGCAAGTAGGGATAAGGTGATCCTTATAGGATAATACAAGGTGCTGAGTGAGCCCTCCCTCGCTTAACAAACATTTGAGTGCTTACTTTAAGTCACAACTGCTCCAGGCTCTGGGGATACAGCAGCAAACGCAACAGACAATTCCTGCCCTTGTGGAGCTTACACAAGCGTACGTGCACACACACACGCACAAAGTAAATTTTATAGCATGTCAGGTGATACTACTGAGAAAACTAAAGCAGAAAAGGGGAAGAAGGAATGCTTGGATGGCAGAATTATAATATCAAACAAAATAGACACGGAGGGGCCTCATTGAGAAGGTAATATTTGAGTAGAATTACAGGAAGTGAGGGGATAAACCACGTGGCTATGCAGGGAAAGGCCTTTCCAGGTAGAGGGAAACAGGCAGTGCAGGTAGGAGAGAAAACTAGCAGAAATGCCCTCAAACCTGGAATAGAGCCAGACGGGGCAAACTAGAGATAAAGTCAGTAAGGTAGTGGGAATGAGACCATATGAGGTCTTGGGCTTTTACTGTGAGTTAGAAGCTACTCTACGGTTTGGGGCCTACAAGACATAATCTATTTTTAATAGTAATACACATTTGCTGGCCGAGCGCAGTGCCTCACACCTGTAATCTCAGCACTTTGAAAGGCTGAGGTGGGC